AAGTGATCACTTTAAAAGTTGTTGAAGACTCAATAAAATTGTGGTGCCGCTGGCTTTATAATGTACCATTGAGAATTCACTGTATACCTTGTAGATATTTTGGCGAATTTCGTTTGGGGAGAAAATCTTCATAATATGGTGCTCGGTGCTCCAGCCTTTCACCGTAAGACATTTAGAGTGCAGGCTGAATGTCACAATTTGGCTCTGTATACAGGCAGGAAGTGCTACTTCCCCTCCCTCGGGCCGACCCTGGACCCGCCACTGGGCCTTCCCGCCGCAACCACCCCGCTCCTATCCGCCACAGGAATGCCTCATAAAAGTTATGTCAACTTTTTCATCCTTCCTGCCAGCCTTCCCGATCTGCCCGGCTCTGCTCCGGCGCTGCTCCGGCGCTGCTCCGGCGCTGCTCCAGCACGCATTCCGGACGGACGGACAGCTCAATTCATCATGGGCTGGGAAAGTGTCAAGGCGCGGCGCGTAGAAGTCCATACCGCGCGCTCCGCTTTTTGACGCTTTTTCTTGCGCCTCGCCGCGCTGAGCCGCGCAGCGCTGAGCCAAATTGACCACGGAGGAATTAGCGAGACACTCTGTGAGACCGCACCGAGGCCGCGCGAGGAATCCGCCGAGCTGCCGACTGATTCCGAGAGTCGTTTTCGTCGCTGTCTCGCTCGCACTCTCGGGGCGGCACCGTGAGTGCGGGAGAGACAGAGCAGCGACGGAGTGACGCGTCAGGGGCAAGAAAAAGCAGCGAAAAGGAAGCGAATCCGGCAACGGGACGCGTAAAACGTGCAACGCGGTGCAGCGCGCGCACGACGGCGGCGGGGTGCACGGAAGTGGCCCCGAAGTGGCCCCGAAGTGGCCCCGAAGTGGCCCCGAAGTGGCCCCGAAGTGGCCCCGAAGTGGCCCCGAAGTGGCCCCGAAGTGGCCCTAGCCCTGCTAGCTCTGCTATCGAACGCACCCGGCCACTTAGCACTTGGACTCGCGCGACGCTCCCCGGTGAAAGGTGAAAGGCCTCCGGTATGCCGCGCACTGCCGCGCCACTGGAAAACGGACACAAAGTCGCACTGCTCGGGGGCGGAGCGCACTTGCGTTGCCGAGGCTCGCGGCCGGCGGACTGGTTCCGAGAGTCTCTGTCTCTCTCGCACCCACACGGGACGCGCCGCGAGTGCGAGAGAGACAGAGCGACGACTCAGTCCGCAGAGCCTTGTCGGTCTGCGCACGTCGACGTCGATTCAATCAGAGCAACGGAACCAACCGGCTGGCCGACTGGCCGACCACTTTGTCGTTAGGGATGCCGTATGCAAGGTGGGCCGTACCGGCGCACTGGAAGGACGGACAGAGGGGCAGGCAGACAGACCGGCGGGCGGGCGGACAGCCATGCCGCTGCGTCAAGTCATGTTTACATACTCACTACTGACAATGCCAGTATGACGCCCATCAGTTTATGCAACGGGGCACACCTCCGCCGCTGATTGTGGCTCGGCTCGGCTCGGCTCGGCTCGGCTCGGCTCGGCTCGGCTCGGCTCGGCTCGGCTCGGCTCGGCTCGGCTCGGCTCGGCTCGGCTCGGCTCGGCTCGGCTCGGCTCGGCTCGGCTAAGCTTGGCTCGGCTCGGCTCGACTTAGCACAACGGGCGGTTCGATTCGGTTCGGCTAAGCGCGCGGGACTTATAAGAGACGATTCGCCTTGGCCGAGCGCGGCCCGGCGCGAGGCTACGACGATTCGGCGCGGTGCGCGGTCCCATTCCGACCCAGCAGACTGATTCCGAGAGTCGTTTCCGTCGCTCTGTGTTGTCTCTGGCACTCATGTGGCGTCCCGTATAGGTGCGAGAGAGACAGAGCGACGAAGACGACTCTCGGAATCAGTCTGCAGCCTCGGCGCAGCGCGACACGCCCGGCCGGCGAGGAGCGCGGAGCTCGGCGCGCTGGAGAGAGGAGACGGGGCGCGTGTCGGCGGGGTGCCTCCGTGGAGTCGATGCGTCGCTCCGTCTCTCTCGCACCCCAAGGGACGCCCCATGAGTGCGAGAGAGACGGGCGAGCCGCGAAACGATTCCTCGCGGAATCAAACTGCCGCCACCGCTAGGTCGCCGTCGAGGAGTATGCGTCCACCAAGACGACCGCCGCACCGGCACGCCGATTCCGAGCAGTCCTGCCGCCGCTCTGTCTCTCTCGCACTCATGGGACGTCCCTTTCGGTGCGAGAGAGACAGAGCGACGAGGCGGCAGTGCGGGACTTCCCTGCCGCGCCGTCAACGGCGACGTGCGCCTTGTGGAGCGGCAAATCTGCGGGGTAAATCCAGCTGCCTCTCTCTTTCTCCCACACAATCTTCGTCGCCGCATCTCGCTCAGTGACGTTCAGCCGCCTGACACGGTTTCGTCCCTGTCTCTCTCGCACCCCTTGGGGACACCTGATGAGTGCGAGAGAGACAGAGCGACGAAAACGACTCCCGGAATGAGGCGGCCGCTTTGGCCCGGCGGCTCAAATCAGAGAATCGCGGCGAAATGGCCGAAATTGAAGCCGGGCCTAATTAATATGCGGCCGGGGCGGCGGCGATTTATCACGCCACTGATAATGAGGAGGCCTTCCCGCCTTTCCTCCTTTTCTAAATTAATTATCGCGGACAAGCGCGGCGCCAGCGAGTGTGTATCTATTTTTCAATATATCGGAGCGACCCGATTACAACGGGGTGCTCCCGAAAGGACCGCCGCCCTACTCTCCCCGAAAACGGGAGTTATCTCGGCCTAAAGAGAACGAATGCCAATGTTTCCCTTCACAAATATAGAAAAAAAATTTGCAGATATATTTTCAGGCTTTGCAGTAAATATGAATGGAAAATACGAGGGAAAACAACCCAACGTTGTCACTACATTGTGACAGTTAAAATGGTTTTGTTGAGACCGCTGCCGCTGCGTGGGCCTCGTCGCCTCCTCACTGCCTTCACGACGCGTCCCCTTTATTCAGGGATTACTCCGGATCAAGCTAGAAACTGCTACAAATCCACGCGCCGAGCGGGAAAAAAAATGGAATAATCAGATAAGCTAGTTCCGGTATTGTTCACAGCAGCATATCGAATCCATCGGTGCCGGCGCTGGCACGAGACTCGCGTCTCCTGGCAGAGAGTTCCGCGGCAGACTGATTCCGAGAGTCGTTTTCGTCGCTCTGTCTCTCTCGCACTCATGAGACGTCCCGTTTGGGTGCGAGAGAGACAGAGCGACGAAAACGACTCTCGGAATCAGTCTGCAGAGAGCAACGCGGAGCAACGGCCGCCTAGGTGGCGCAGGGCGCGCCCCGCCCGCATAGCACAGCGCGTCATATATCTCTGCCATAAAAGAGACGATCGCATAAGGGAGGCCTGGCCTCGTCGGATCGGCCGGAGTGTGCCACACTGGCTATGCAAAATAGTGGCAACACTGCCAAAGCGTGTCGCCTCCGGTTATCTTATCCTATTCGGCGACATTGATGGACAATAAACCTCGCGGTAATGTCTCTCTTCCGCCGGCCGACGCCACATTGTGCGCGACTGGCCGTCGTTGTGGCGGCGTTAAAGAATATCGTTTTGACGTCCGCAATGACGAGGCAGGTGCGCGCCGCGCGTGGGTCGAAACGCTGTGCGTATACGGTTTGGAAAACATCGGTATAATTGTTCGGGAAGCAAGTTACGGACATAGAAACTAAGTACGTAGCACAAAATGGAAGCAACGCAAGGTAAGTTATGGAAGGTAAGTAACCGAGTAAATAACGCTAGGTATGTTAACGAAAAGATTATTGGGGCAAGAGAAGTAACGCGAGGTAAGTATATCGCAAGGGAAGTAACGCAAGGTAAGTAACGCAAGGTAAGTAACTCAAGGTAAGTAACGCAAGGTAAGTGACGCAGAGGTAAGAAATGCAAGGTAAGTAACGCAAAGGTAAGTAACGCATGGTAAGGAACGCAAGGTAAGTAACGCATGGTAAGTGACGCAAGGTAAGTAACGCAAGGTAAGTAACGCAAGGTAAGTAACGCAAGGTAAGTAACGCAAGGTAAGTGATGCAAGGTAAGTAACGCAAGTTAAGTTTCCAAGGTATAACGCAAGGTAAGTAACACAAGGTATAACGCAAGGTAAGTAACGTGAGGTAAGTAACGGAGGTTAAGTAACGCAAGGTAATGCAAGGTAAGTAATGCAAGGTATGACGCATACGTAAGTAATGCAAGGCAAGTCGCACAGAGAAGGCAATACAATAGTGACGCAGCAACTACAACGGAAGGGAAGTATGACTCTACAGAAGTAGAGCACAAATAACTGAAATGTGAGTAAGCCAAGCTTGGCGTACGCAAAACACAAAGTAAAATGTCATTTTTCAAAAACATTTTCCATGTATACAATCGATTTCTTTTTTGGTCGTGTATGTGTGCTGTTACGCCCGGACGACTGATCCTGACCCAGACGTCGCAGCGGTACAGTCCACCCCAAGAGGTTGACCGTCGGGCGGACGTGGGCGTGGCACGGTGGCGCGGCGAGGCGGGATGGGAGCAGATGACCGATTGGTCCAATCTGGCTTTTGAAAGGCCGGCGCTGTCTGACAGGCTGAACCACATCTCAAACGTCGTCCGCTTTTGCCTGGCGGGCAGTGCCCAGGCAGTGCCCAGGCAGGGCTGAGGCTGGCTGGCCCACGAGGCTAGCGGCGCGGTTTGCTGCGGTCGACCGCCGCGAGCGGCTAGGAGGTGATGGCGCCCGCGGGCCTGCAGAGCGGTTCCGAACAGTGTCTTATGTCTCCGTCTCTCTCGCACTCGTACGGGTCACTCGGCGAGTGCGACAGGAACAGAGTGCGTGCCGTTTGGAACGAGCCCCGATATGCGAACCTCGCTCGCAATTAACGCGCGAGTCGTCATCAGAGAACCGGCGGCAGTTTCGCATATTCATTCCGCGGACCACCGCAGGGAAAACGGGCCGGCGAACAAGCGAAAAGGCGTGTCCGGAAAGGTACGGTGCCGGTATTCGAACCACCGACCAGGCGGACTGACTCACCTGGAGGTAGGGGCTGCACGCCGACAGCAGCACGCGGTGCGCGCGCAGGGAGCCCCCCAGGCAGCACAGCGTCACGTCCACGAAGCTCTCGGAGGACAGGAGCTGCCGCAGGTACGACAGCACGCCCAGGCAGTGCTGCATGCCGTCCATGGCGACCTGCAACACGGAGGGGCACGGTCAGGAAACGTGTGCGGAGAGAGACAGAGAGCGAGAGAGAGAGAGAGAGAGAGAGAGAGAGAGAGAGAGAGAGAGAGAGAAAGAGAGAGAGAGAGAGGGGGGGGGCGGAGGGAGTCGACGTCGACCCCTCCCTCCATGGCACCTAGATAGCCACCTGAAACGTAGGCAAAAAGCCATATACTTTGCTCCTGTAAGAAGCAAAAAATGCTATCCCCCCATGCTTAAGGCTGCCTCTGCAGGACGATTCTGAGAGTCGTCTTCGTGACTCTCACACCTATACAGGACGCCCCATGAGTGCGAAAGACACAGAGCGACGAAAACGACTCTCGGAATCAGTCTGCGAAGGCTGGAGCGCCGAATGAGTGCGGCGGGGCCGGTTGGTCCGATCCGAGGCCTGGGCGACCTCCCATCTAGAACAAGTGGCCAGGCTTTGACAGGGATAGCTGTGGAGACCGCTCGGCGCAGCATAATGGAGGTGGAAGCCATTAATGGCAGCACTTGACCAGTGGACCCACACCAGGTACCATTTAGCGCCGCGGTAACACCTGCAGCGACGTCCCGGACCGTCCTGGACACCCCAGCAGGCTAACTCCGAGAGTCGTTTTCGTCGCTCTGTCTCTCTCACACTCATGTTGCGTCTCCTATAGGTGGGAGAGAGACAGGGCGACGAAAACGACTCTCGGAATCAGTCTGCAGGCTGCGCGAGGCCCCGCTCGTAAACTAGCCGGATGAGCGCGGCACAACGCGGACCGTACGCGTCGCAATCAGAAATCCACACCGCCGGCGTCTCTCAGCGCCTCGCAAGCCTAGGAAGGTATCCCGCATTGGGACTTCCACCGTCGCCTCGCCGCTTTTGTTTTTGTTGGAAACGGCTGGAAACTAGACACACTGCACGCTGCGGCCCACGGCAGCGGTCCGATTCCGAGAGTCGTTTTCGTCGCTCTGTCTCTCTCGCACTCATGGGGCGTGCCGTTAAGGTGCGAGAGAGACAGAGCGACGACTCTCGGAATCAGTCTGCGGGCAGTATGGCTGTAGCACGTGCCCGGCGGCGGTCACGCCGCGGTCGCGGCCACGGCGCCTCGCCAGCAGACTGATTCCGAGAGTCGTTTTCGTCGCTCTGTCTCTCTCGCACCTACACGGGACTCTTCATGAGTGCGAGAGAGACAGAGCGACGAAAAGGACTATTGGGAGTCTGCAAAAGGTGCCTCGCGCGTCGCGGAAGGAAGGAGAGGAGGATTTTACTTCCGCAGAAAAGGCTACAGACTGATTCCGAGAGTCATTTTCGTCGCGCTGTCTCTCGCGCACTAGTGAGACGCCTCATAGGAGTGCGAAAGAGACAGAGCGACGAAAACGACTCTCGGAATCTGTCTGCTGCGCGAATAATCTCAACGACCGGAGGACAGGCCGGCTGCGCCGTGTCGCCGTGCGGCATCACCAGAAGAAGCTCCTGCACTGTAATTGTCGCGCAGCTGCGCCATCCGCCGCTTGATTCCGAAGTCGTCGCTCTGTCTCTCTCGCACTCGTGGAGCATCCCGTAAGCGTGCGAGAGAGACAGAGCTATCCTTCGGAACGAGGCGGCTGCGGGCGGCTGCCGGCGTCTGCCTGCATCTGCCGGATCGGCGCATCTTAAGGCTTCGATCACAGCGCGCTCTTAGCAGCGGCCGAGCGACGCAGAACAGACGTCGCTCTGTCTCTGTCGCACTCGCGGGGCTCTCCCTCAGTGTGCGAGAAAGACAGAGCGACATCGCCCGGCAGCGGAGGAGAAAAGGCGAAGGGACAGCAGCGTAAACGATAAAATGTAACGATAGCGTGTGGCGTACGGAGCACGGCCCGCAAATGCCGCGGCAGATAGGCAGCGCGGTAGCGACCGGCCGAGCGCTCCGAACGCCGCTCTGTCTCTCTCGCACTCATGGAGCGTCCCGCACGGGTGCGAGAGAGACAGAGCGACGAAACGCCGCGCGCGGAATCAGTCTTTGGCGGCGACCGCAGAGGTACCGCAAATCAAACCGCAGACAACACATCGGCCGGGCCGGGCAGCGCGGCAGCCAAGGAGGCAGCGATGGGGAATCCTTATTATCGTATTAGGCGCTTGCAGGGGGAACTGCTACCGAACGGACCGGAACTGGAGGAGCGATCGGGCATCGTTTGTGCGCCTTACGCTTTCAGACCCAGAAAAAGGGTTTCCTGATATTTAATTTTCTTGGTTTTTTGTTGGGGAAAAAAGTTTGAATCTAGAAAAGAGTTCTTTAAAAAAAAACAAGAAAAGGTAAAATCTTTCCCAGTCCAAGAAGCCATTTTTGGGGATGAACACACTGAGCGGTTCTCTATTGCCAGAAAATATGCCAGTCATGCGAAGAATGTTTTTTTGGTCCTACAGAACTAACTCGAATTTTTAAAAGTATTTTTTTCAATAATTATCAGGACTGAAAAATTTGCATGGTCATATACGTGGAGAGTGAAAGAGTCTGAAACAGCCGCGATAGTTATTCCAGTGCGGTGTGGCTCGTCCGAAAGCGAAACCTAATTATAAATGGTCGAATTACCGCGTCCAAAGGTCAGCAATGAACACACTGGCCTGGCGGCGGACCCCATAAGCACCCTATAGAAGTCTAACGAGGCACGACTGGCTCTACGGAGCCGCCCGTGCATTCGTTCGTCACATCAGAGTAAAACAACAGGAGTTATTCTTTAATTACGCGTCCCTCCACGTTTCAGTAACTGTGTCTGCGAGGTCGAGCAGCGGGACATTTTTTATGACCTTCCTTTTTCGCAATTTTGGAAGCACAATCGCGCTGCGAAACATCGTGTTTTACTACCTGTTCCGGGGGAGCCACGTGAGGTGCTCTCTCTCCCTCTCTCTCTCTCTCTCTCTCTCTCTCTCTCTCTCTCTCTCTCTCTCTCTCTCTCTCTCTCTCTCCTCTCTCTCTCTCTCTCTCTCTCTCTCTCTCTCTCTCTCTCTCTCTCTCTCTCTCTCTCACGGACACACTCACACCCAGACGCCTACTTGCACCACGCAAGATAAATCTTTCCAGAAAAATTTGAGGACGTGTGGAATCGCTGCCACCGTGTGTTGCCGTCAAGGATGAAATATACGTCTGCCCTCCGCCGGATTTTTGTTTAATGCGTGAGAAATTTCACATTTTGATGACCACTCCTCTCGCTGAGTGAGCATGTGTATAACATTACCAGTGTGCGCACACCTGTAGGAGGACCTCCCGCACACAGCGCACCGGCCACCGCCGTTTGCGGGGCACGGCACTGGTAGGTGCTCGTTGTAGTACACGCTGTTGTTGTCGTTGTTGTTGTTGTTGCAGGGCCCGAGGAAAACGGCGGTGGGGTGCGAGTCCTAAACACTTTGTCACGAGGGGAATGATACGGATCGCTTACAGAAAACACAGACGCACACACGCGCGTGAGCACACACACGCACACTCACACAGGCGCGTTATTTACTGCGTGCATTCACAGTGGCGCTATGCGCGCGCGGCATTCAGAACGGAGCCCTTTCCTTTCGACCGGAGTGCGGATAAGAGTGTGTGTTATTATTTGCAGGTGTGTGTGTGTGTGTGAGTGCGCCTCTGTAGGATGAGCACTGCTGCAGTGACCATAGTGGTTCAGCATATAGTCCACACACACACACACGCACACACACACGCACAACACAGTCGCACACACGCAGCGCGCTCTCAGCACTGTGTGCCTAGTGGCACTTTTACGATCCGGCTTGGTAAATATAACGCAAGCAAAAGGCAAATGGAATGAAATATGCAGCTTGAACCCTCCATAGCACTCTTCCCTCTCTCTCTCTCTCTCTCTCTCTCTCTCTCTCTCTCTCTCTCTCTCTCTCTCTCTCTCTCTCTCTCTCTCTCTCTCTCTCTCTCTCTTTCTCTCGTCACGGCGACGCCTCGCCCGTCCGATTCAATGAAGGCGCGCGACAGCAGCGCGGAGTGACGGATGCCTTCTCACCTACATTTAATGCTAGGCTTGGCGCCGGCCGCCGTGTGGCGTGCCGAGGCGGGGCGGGGTGAGGCGGGGCGCGGTGAGGCGGGGCGCGGCGGGGCAAGGCGGCAAGGAAACACCTCCTTAACTCATGTTCGCTCTGTTGTTTGTCTTTCTTAGAAAGAACGCCTCGCTGTGCTCTAACGACGCCGCGGAACTACCCCCTCTTCCCCTCTCTCGCCACACACACACACACACACACACACACACACACACACACACACACACACACACACACACACACACACACACACAGAGGCTACAATGGCTCCCACGCCATATACACCTCAGCGAATGGCGGCTGTAAAACCGGACGGATGATACAGCCTACAGTTAGTCGAATTTAAGTGTCTGCAGCTGGACCACACGCTGCACCACCGAAGGGCCGCGATGGAAATCTTTTACGCGCGTGTGTGTGTGTGTGTGTCAGTGGTGTGTGTGTGAGAGTCAGTGTGTGTGAGTGTCAGTGCGTGTGGTAGTGTTTGTGTGTGACTCTGTGTGTGCCCCGCGACACCGCAGGTTGCTTGCGATTCAGTCCACGCGCCCTCTTTAGGGACGCAAAAAGAAGCTCCTTGTATCGGCCGCTCCCATCTCGGGACGTAATTGATTTATCGGTGGGGCTAATAGCAGCTCGCCGCCCGGCTGCATGGCTGCATGGCGAGCAACGCGCGAAGTCCGTCAAAGACGAATACAAAAATGTTGCAGAGTGATCTCGTTATTGCTAGAGAGACGCCTTGTCTGTCGGCAGAGCGGTTTTCTAGCCAGCACCCGTTGCTTTGTCACCGTTTAGTGTAGAGACGCCCTGCACCGCACTGAGAAAACCTTAGGTCTAAAAAGGAAAGCAGTTTGTTATAACAAAAAGTATTTTGAGCATACATAGGCTTACAAAGAAAATACTTCGTAACTTAAGAACTTTTTCTTCGTTTAACAAAGTAAATTAGCTTGTATTATGTATGCTCAAAGAAGCTCGTAAGG